TTTTTTTGTTGTTTTTATAGAGCGATTACGAAAATACTTGGTGACTGGTGGGCTTCCTTAGATGCCAGTGATAAAAAGTGTTTTACTAATTTGGCGCAGCAGGTAATAATACCGATTTGTATTTAGTCATAGATTAGACAAATAATGGTATTTAATTTTTTAGAATAAAGATGCATTTTTCAACGCGAATCCCAACTTCAAGTGGTACAAGCTGCCCGCTCCCCCTTTGCGCACCTTAAACACCAGGCCGGGCAATAATGATCGTAACGTAGAGCAGGAGGACGACAAGTCTGTTACGTCTGCGCATTTTAGCGGCACTATGCTATCCAAATATGCAAACAGAAACAGCAGCCATGTTTTCAAACTAGCTGATGAAGCTCAAATGGGCGAACTTAGTACGTTAATTAATGGCGAAGGCAGCAACAATAACATTAATGCAAACCAGAATGCATTGCAGCAAGCGTTGGGCGAAACATCTCAGTTTCTGAACGCATATATGCCACCCAGCAGTGATAACGATGCTAACCAGTCAAGTAAAAGTCGGCTGATCAGCGAAAACAGCTTCTCAAGTAACGGTAGCGAAGATGATGTTTTGTCTAAAAAATCTTCAAGAGCGTGTAAAGGAAAAATATATCAAGAGCTTATTAATTCCGGTCAGATTTCAGCTGTGTCAAAAAAAGTAAAAGCGCCCAACTCAGTAAGCCATCCCAACGGTTTCACTCATCAAACTGTGAACCCGTCACTTACCTCCAATCGAACTTCATTGGAGGGCTTTAACAATATTACACCAATTAGTGCGACCTTACAAAAGTCTACAAGCAACGTTGGCATAAAAGAATTTTCGCCGTTAAGAGGATCTCATTCAAACAATGATTTTGTTAGTTTTGATCTGGAAGAAAAAATTAAAAAACTGCCAGCTCTTATCTTAGACCTTTATTTGCAACGCAAGCGTAATACGAAAAAAAGAAAAAGATCACATCAAAGAAGCGCCATTTAAATAACTCATCGAACAGCAAGAGTTTAGGGGCTGTAAATGAGATCCCTATTTCATCTATCTCGGCTTCTATAAAGGTTCGAGAAGGCGCCCAACAGCAGGCTGTGGGTAGTCAAAAAAGAAAAGCGCGTAAGGAAAGCATCACAAGACGTGACGTTACCGCCATAGAGAACGAAATCGCATCTGTTATTCCATTAGCTAAAAGCTTCAATACCATAAATGGCTGTTATTTTTTCAATGAATCGACAGGTTCGGCAATGTCAAAACCCCTATTAGGAGAACTTGGAAAAGTTGCTGTTGAAACGGGAGCGAACAATCAACGAACAAACACTTTTGACAATTTAACCAATGATAACATTTCGTCTACCTCAGACTTACTCATTCTGGCCGAGGTTGCTGCCAATCGTACCGAACTAACAAATTGAAAAGTGAACGGTTCTCATTGTACTATCTCCTCTTACAAACATATAAGCAACCGAAAAAAAAAATGTTTCTTAAGAATGCATTATATCAGATATATATGCTTTGTTTATAGGATTAATCAAAAATTGTTATTGTTTTCGAAAGTTATATTTAATACTGTTAGTTTAAAGTCGGATATAAAATCGTAGTTATATTTTCACACATATACATACATATATATATATTGTGTAAATAACTCTAATATAAACCGTGAAACTGGAGATTTTTATCCCTGTGATGTTGTGGATGACTTCTTAAATAAACGAATGCAATGTGGGTGAAAACTCTGCAATTATACCCCCCTAAACTTTTATTTCGATCAATAATGCTGCAACTCTTCTCCGTAAAGGACACAGGATACAATCCTAGTACGCTGGGCTATGAAGATACAGAGGAACTAAAATTTCGATTTTTGCCACGCGCGGTAATATTCAAATTTTCGCAACTTTTACTGGAGTGCCTCAGTTTTAGTTTAAAAATATGGATTTTAGTGGAAAAAAATAATTAGTTTAACAGTTTTAAGATATATTGAGTTTTAAGAACATTTTTGTGTTTTGCTCCGGTGCGCCTGACAACGCTGCAGTTATATGTAGCGCATTTTGACCCCATTTTCTGTCTTCCCAAGTCCTACTGAACAGGTAGTAGCAGTAGAGTAGCTGATTTGTTTTTTTTTAATGAAATTATTTGGTCTTTAATATGTCAAATCTTTATAATTTCTTTTTATAAAAACACTAAG